TTTTTCTTATGCATGTGAAATCTGTCCGGGTTCGCCACAAACTCACTCCTCTTGCATTTTTTAGAGAGCCATAAAGGCTCAAATCTCTCCTTTCGAGTCAGCCAACCAAAAAATAAAATAAAATTGACGAACAGGTCCAGGAGTACTTGAAAGAAGAAGCAACAGATCGAGAAATTGAAAAGATTGGGCCAAAGGCCCACTCTTAATTCCAAAATCGTATTTTGTTATTTTGGGCCTAAGCCCACTTATTTGTTATTACTTGTTAGTTCTTAGGACAAGTGGAAGAATTGGGCCTAAGACCCAAAAGAAAGATATCTATTTTATGTTAGACTAGGACAGGTATCAGTGATTTAAATAAGCCAAAGGTCCAAAACGAAATTATGCCCAAGTGCTGGTCCAGGCGGACAGAAAACCAGACTTGGGCCCAAATTTTCTTCTTTACTTCGTTATTTTATATTTGTTTACCTGTCATTACTTGCTGTTAATCTTAAGGTTACTACAATTTAATTTTCCCAATAGATAGCCATTCTGAACTAATTTTCTAAAAATCAACTAATTAAGCATTCACTTCCTCCGATATAAAAATATAATCTTGTAAGATATTGTACTTAGGTGATATCTCACTTAGATAGTAGTCTCATATTTCCCTCCCTTTCCCCCCTTTAAAATGGTTCTAACTATAAAAATTGTTCAAATCAAATTAAGTTAATTTTTAGCCAAATGATTAATTGCCGGATAACCGCATTAGAGGGTGTTCTAGATGCTTTAAAACCCTTGCTAGAACACTAATAAAAACCCCAAATCCTTTTTAAGTTTTCATTAGATTTCTGTTTTAATCTTTTGAAAACAATAGTTTTCATTAAGTGGCGACTTTTAAAATCAGTCTCTAACTAATATTTTTAAATAAAACAAATATTACTTTAGATATTGAAATGTTATCTCAAATATATAATTCCTTGATGAGAGTTCTCTAATTTGGCATAATTAGGTAACAAGTGACATATTTCAGAAATGCTTTTATGGAGGAAAAAGTGCAAGTTAGAATTAAATATTTTTTCATTCTTCTAGAATGATCTTAAATTAAATAACTAGTACTATATGTTGTTCGATTCTGTAAGTGCACAATAGCATATTTTCTTTGGCTCTCAATGGTATACTTTAAATCATTTTAGCAACAATTAACAAAGACGAAAAGAAAGAGAAAGCAAAAGCACTAAACCTGTAAATAATTTTTTTTGTTTACAAATTATGGAGAGAAATGGTTATCTCTTCACTTATTGTTACCCGCCTTTATCATAATGATGATGGAGTAGAGTATGAAGTTATTAAAAAATTCTTGCTTAAATTATCTATTTTCCGATAATTTTTTTGGAAACGAGTTCTCAAGTACAAACACACTCAAACATCTATGTTTCCGATATTCATAGTTTGAGATTTTTGAACTAAACTTTTCAAGTACGTACTCAACGATGCTATCCATATTTTCTTCTAAATCTCGAGTTACACACCAACCCAAGGTTAGAGTGAGATTATTATTTATTATTACACAGAATCTCAACTTCAAAATTCAATCAACCATTCAAAATTTTCACATAAGATTTTAATTTGATTTCCATCAATTGAAAAATGATAAAACAATAAAAGAAATTTTTTGACACCTTCTTCTCATCCTTTTTTTGGTATTATAATGGTGAAGTGATTATGGTTTACCGGTTGATGGTCTAGTGGTGAAATAATTGTATTTCGTTATGTCACGTCTATTAACATTATACACAGATACAACATAAAATTAAGACATAATACATAAACATGACTCTTAACTTGACTTCAGTTGGCAACTATGACCTTTAACTTTGGGTGTGCACAAGTAGACACTTAAACTTGTATAAAATTGAACAAATAGACACATTCGTCCTACATGACATTCTACATGACAATTTTGTGTCCTACATGTATTATGTCACGTAGGACACGTGTATCTACTTGTTTCATTTTATACAAGTTTAAGTGTCTATTTGTGCAATCCCAAAGTTGAAGTATACAATTGTCAATTGAAGTCAAGTTAATGATCATGTTTATATATTTTGCCTAAAATTAATGATGTACGATGTATGTCAAGTGTATATATGTCCAGTGGTGGTTATGGTTGTCTAGTAGCGGTTGAGTGACTATTTTGTGTATGTCATCTAATGTATATCATGTATATCCATATTATATACATGTAACTTACATAGATACAATAATATACAATATATATCAAGTTATTTCTAACTTGCTCTTGAAAATTTCGTTGATGTTCATAGAACTAGAGTTTTCAGAATTTATCTATGTTTACCTTAGCTATTCGTATACGATTTATAAAAAATCATAATAAATTTCCTTGTTTGTATATTGACAAGCGAAATATACAAACGAAGTTCTAAAAAATTCCTTAACGTATAGATATAGAATTTGTATATACTTATCTTGTTTGTATATTTGTAAGCGAAATATACAAACAGGAAAGTGAAATATACAAACCGCAACCTCCATAGCAAACATAACTATGACTATGGAGCGCAATTACCAAAATTATAGCTATAGAGTCTTATTATATCTATTATCTTTGCTATTTTTGAAATTTACTCTACTATTGATAATGGGAGTCGGGACTTGACAAATTTCACAGCCATCCTAAATATTCACCATTAACATTTTTGTTGTCGATGATGGGAGTTGGGACTTGTCAAAATATAATGGCCACCATGAATAGTCCCACTAACATTTTTGCTCTTGATGTTGGTGTTTACATCCCTACTTTATTTAAATAAGGAGAAACGTCATGATAACTCAAAGAATAATCTAATTAATTCAATTCAATTAAATTTTAAAAAAATTTAAAGAATAAAAGACTTTAAGAGTCGCCACCTAATTTTAGGAAAAATGAGGAAACCAATTAATTAATTAACCTAAAAGAATATCTACGAAACCAATAGATTTTAGGTAAGCGTTCAAGCTATTTTGAAGGGAAGGTATTAGGCAGCCTTCGAAATCCATAACGGTGGATCCCAACAGAATTCATTTTTCCAAACTGAGGAGGACATAAAAATGTGATATATATATAAATAATAAAATAAAATAATAATATAATAAACGACCTAAGGTTTGCCTAACGTCACTACATACAAAATAGTAAATAAAGAATGTAATCCGAACTTCATTCGAATAGCTTCAATGGGAAGCAACTCCGGGTACTTGTAAAGACACTTAGTAAAAGTGTTAGTACTAAATAAATATTAATAAAAATAAATGAATCAAATAATAACTTAAAAATAAAAACAGGTCTTATTAACATGAGAATTTAGGGGTGTGTATCGGTCGGTTCGGTTCGGTTATAAGTATTATCGGTTCGGTTTATCGGTTTTCGGTTTTTAAATATTCTAAACCGATAACCAAATCAATAAGATATTAGTTATCGATTTTCGGTTTATCGGTTTTAGGTCCTTAACGGTTCGGTTTTCGGTTTAACCAATAAGAAAATGCTTTCAAACAAATATATGACTTATCCAATAATTTGATGCGATACGCATACATCGAAATAATCATTCCAAACGGGACAACAAGGACCAACTTGTTGTATTTTGGTCATCACAACAAAGACTTGGTTAATTTTCGATCATCATAATATATAAAACGAGGTCCTCTTTATGCAATAAAGAGAATCAAATAAAACCAAATCATAGACAAAAGTCAAAACAATAGCAAATGAGGCCATGCTTATGGTAACTAAATGAAGTTCTTACATTATTTTTTTTAAAAAAACACACAATTTGAATTGCTGACGTTAAACAAATTGCAGATATTTACAATCGTGCAAAAGCTAATAGGTTATCGGTTAACCCAATAACCCAATATTAAAAACCAATAACGAACCGATAACCCAATAATTTTTTTTTGTAAAACCATTAAATAACCGTTATCCCAATAACCCAATAACAATAAACCAATAACACTTTTTTCGGTTCGGTTTATCGGTCGGTTCGGTTTTTGCACACCCTTACATGAGATGCCTTGGAAATCGACGGTAATTTCTTCATCGGCCAATTTAACATATAAAATAAATGAAGTTAAACTAAATTTCCATCTTTTAAAATGGGGAGACCTAAAAGACCGATTGAGAGATTTTTTCATTGATCAATTTTAACTTGTAATTTATTAAATGTCAATTAGAGATAGCAACCGAAAGTAAAAATAGCACGAATCATACAAAAATAATTCCAAGGAAATAGCAATCAACAATGGACAATAGGAATATAAAACAACAATTCAAAGTGCCAATAATCATTGGAAAGCAAATCATTACTAAATAAATTGTTTATTTAGTAAAATCACTAGCTAGTAAAATATTTGCTTATAAAAATCTTATCCGTATTTAACTGTATTTCTAGACTGCGCTAAAAACACTAAAATGAATATAAATAAAATAAAAAAATAAAAATGATTTTTAACAAATATTTGAACATATACAACCGACTATGACCAAAAGAATGTAATCAAAACTAGCTAACTGATAAAAATTCTAAAATTTTGCAAAATAAGGATAAATATCAATAAATTTATTTAAAAATATAAAAAGTGTATCTGAACTATTGAATGAATAAAACTTAAAAGTTATGAATTTTGAAAATGTTAGGTCAAAATTGGGTGTAAACCGTTGGGAATGGTCAAATTTCATGTCCACCCTAAATAAATATTATCACTACCAATTTAAATCTTTAAAAATAGTCCCACTAACATTTTTGCTCTTGATGGTGGGAGTGACCAAATTTCATGATTTCATGTCCACCCTAAATAATTACCACTACCAATTTAAATCTTTATAATTAATAGTCCCACTTACATTTTTGCTCTTGATGGTGGGGTAGTCAAATTTCATGTCCACCCTAAATGATTGCCACTACCAATTTTAATCTTTATAAATAGGCTTATGTCTGTGTGAACTAGTAACTTGAAAAAAAAATTCTTTTATGTAATTCACTTCTCTTACTTTCTACTACTGTTATCAAACCTTAAGCATACTATTATTATGTCTTTAGTTTCTCTACTCCAAACTCTACCAAAACTCAGTTGAAAAAATGGATGGATTTGATGGTGAGGCGGAGATTACACGTCGAAGTGACAATCATCATCCTACTGTTTAGGGAGATCATTTTCTTGCCTATGCTAATCTCTCGGTAAATTTGAATGCCCAGTGTGTTCATGTTTTAATTTGAGTTTATGTTTTATGTGTCGGCTGAGTAAAGATTTTTTTTACACTTACAGGTCACTCGGAAATATTTACAAGTAAGCCTTTCAAAAATATAAAATTAGTAAAATTGAAAATAAGATAAGGTATTCTGCGACAACATATAAAAAAAAATATGACCTAATAATATAAACATGTAATCATGTATTCCCTTACTACCTTAAACTCTTATTTTTTAACACTTTTGATCCATATTCTCTTTGCAAATAATTTTTGAAGGACAAAAATGTATATATCTAAACAAAAGTTATTTATTTACGCGTATAGGGTGCCAATGAATGGGATGAGAAGGAACATAAGGATCTAAAAGAAGAAGTGAGAAAAATGCTAGTGATTTCTCCATCCAAATCTTTGCAAAAAATTGAACTTATCAACACAATCCAATTGCTTGGAGTGGCATACCATTTCGAACATGAGATTGAGGAATCATTGAGTAACATGTATAATGGTTATGAAGAATGGATTGGTGAATTTTGTGAAAGTGACCTTCATGTTGCTGCTCTAAGTTTTCGATTACTTAGACAACAAGGTTACTATCTCTCATCTGGTAACTAATTAATACTCCCTCCAATTCAATTTATATGACACTACTTGACTAGATACAACGTTTAAAAACCAAAAGAAGCTTTTAACACTTGTGGTTTAAAACAATCTTAAATATTCGTGTTAAATCGTCTCAATAAGGTTAATAATTGTACAATATTACTCGAGCTTGTTTGTTGGTTTTTTTTTTACCCCTACCATATTGATATATAACAAAAAGTTACAATAGGTTATAGGAGACATGGACCTTACCTCTAACCTATCAGAGGACTAGTACTAAGAGTAACACCAAAAAAACTGATGAGAAGGAGTAGCCTATACAAGATCTTCTCATCCTAATCAAGAGTCATACTAACTTACAAAAAAAATTACTCTTTTGTAACTAACTAATTTGTACAATTACTCAACTACCCCTTCACTACTTTATCTTCAAGTAACTCTCATTTCATCAATACAAGCATAAAAAAAAAATAAAAAAATCATCAATACAAGCATTAACATTGCTAAGAGTTTTGATGGTCTCCTGGATGATAGGTTTCATCTTGAGATTGGTATAGCTCCCATCAGTATTTAATTTTATAACTCCTGCATCTGGCATACTCCCAGCTTATTTGTTGATAATTAAGATTTTAACTTTTACACACTAACGTATGAATACATATTTTGAAACAGATGTTTTTAGAAAGTTCATCGATGACCAAGGAAATTATAATAAAGCATTGGTTAATGACATGCAAGGATTATTAAGCTTGTACGAGGCAACACAATTCAGAGTACATGATGAAGAAATTTTGGATAAAGCAGTTAATTTTACCACCATTCATTTGAAGTTAATGTTGCCTAAATTGAGTAATTCTCTGTCGATACAAGTGAGCAATGCGCTAAAGTATCCAATCAACAAAACTATAGCCAGAGTAGCAACTAGAAAATACATAGCGTTTTACCAAGAAGATAAATCATGTGATCAAGTGTTATTTAATTTTGCGAAATTGGACTTCAATACATTGCAGAAGATGCATAAACGGGAGCTATGTGATATCACAAGGTAACTAGCAAGATACACAATTAATAATATCACAACACTGTTTTATTTAAAAAAAAATATTTTTATTGATTTTGAGATTTAACTTTACATTTTAGGTGGTGGAAAGAATTGAACTTGGCAAATGAACTACCTTTTGCAAGAGACAGAGTGGTTGAGTTGTACTTTTGGTCTTTGGGTGTGTACTTTGAGCCCCAATATAATGTTGCCAGGAAAATACTAACCAAAGTGTTATGTTTCGTTTCAATTACTGATGACATCTATGATACATATGGAACACTCAATGAACTTACTCTCCTTACAAACGCAATAGAAAGGTATGTTTTTTTTTTTTGGAACATTAATTATACTATATCTTCATGTCAGTTTATTTTCCTAACATTTATTTTTAGTCCATCCAAAGGTAACAAATGAAAACCTCACAATTTGTAAAAACTATCACAATTTTTCACTACTCAATCTTACCAAATAAGCATTAATTAAATCGTAGTTCATATTTCATAATTAAAAAGTAACAAAATATCTAAGGCGCCACATTAATAAATAAAGTATCTCCATATTTTTCCTATGAATAAATGTTTGTAGTTACATGTTATTACAAAAAAATTTAATACACATAATTTTACAAATATTAATCAGTCAATAATAATAATACCTAAATATTCTTAAATATAATCATCCCATGTGGTACAGATAACTCTTCATGTCGAATATGAATTGATTTTTATATTTTGCGAACTTTAAAATGATGGAATATCTTTAAGTTTTACTTTTTAAAAGGAAATGAAAGGGTCAAAATGCTCTTAAACTTTGTAAAACTGAACATATTATTTATTTTCCTTTTAAAACCATTCTTTTCCAAATAAGAATATTATTTTTCAAGAACATCACCTATATTGTACGTTTACAATAGGTGGAACATCGACGCTGCAGAAAATCTAGCGTCCTATATGAAACTCTTTTACACTGCTCTCCTACATCTTTACAATGAAGTGGAGAAAGAGTTGGCAAAGGAGAACAGGTCCTTTCGAGTCAACTTTGCTATTAGTGAGGTAATAATTATGTGATACATATTAATTATTACTCCTAATGATCCAGCTTCCTATTAGTTTGTTTCAGAAAGAATGATTTATTTCCATTTTTATCAACATTTTGATTTCACTTTTCCATATGACATGTTTAATTTAGGATCATAAGATTAAAAAGTCTTACTCCCTTCATCCAGGAGGGAGCTAAGTGGATTTCGTGGGTTCAGATGAACTCAATAGCTTTTTTATAGAACTTGTATTTGTATTAAAAAATTTAAATAAATACAAATGTACATTAACTTGTAAACCCTTGACAAAACTAATTAATGGCTTAGTGGGAAGGATGGGGTTATGGAAATGTTTTACACGCTAAAGTTGTGCATTTTAAAAAAAGTTCCTAAAATTTAGAACCCCAAACTCTTATTCCTGACTCCGCCTATGCGGCTCCATCCCATTTTATGTGGCATTATTTAACTTGACATGTTAAAGAAAAAAAACTTTTAAAACTTGTGGTCTAAAACAATCTTTAGTTATTTATTTGACTAAGAATCATTTCATTAAGGGTAAAATGAGAATTTTAAAGTTAATTTTTTTCTAATTATAGTAATTTGACTTTTTTTAGGATGAACTAAAAAGGAAAGAATATCATATAAAATGAAAAGGAGAGAGTATTTATTTTCTTAAACTCTGCAAAAAATTAAATTAGGTCATTCATTTTTAAAGAAATGAGGTAATTAATTTCAGATGAAAAAGTTGGTGAGAGCTTATTTTCAAGAGGCGAAATGGTATCATGGGAACACAATCCCTAGAATGGAGGAGGAGTATATGAAGAATGGAATTAAAAGTAGCACTATCCCAAATCTTTCTACTGCTTCTTGGTTAGGCATGGGTGATGAAGCAACCAAAGAGGCATTCAAATGGATTACAACTGAACCTCCAATTCTCATCGCTTCCTCTATTATTGCAAGATTGTTGAATGATATTGTATCACATGAGGTACATAAATTCTCACATCTTCATGTGTATTCAATGTATACTTTATGTATAGCTAAGCTATAGTGTATAGTCCGTATATACTTCCTATAGTTTTTTGCTATTATTTTTATGTAAATAAAACATGGCTATATTTGTTATAAATTAATTACTTTATTTTTTATATTTGATTTTTTATTATTATTATTATTATTATTATTATTATTATTATTATTCAATAGTTATTGTTTTAATAGTATTGGTTATCCTTACTATTTTAGTTATTAATATTGTTCTTTTCTTGAGCCGAGGTTCTATAGAAAGTCACATCTCTATCCCTTCAAAGGTAAGAGCAAGGGTAAGATCTGTGTACAATTCATTTTTTTAGGCTTTATTTATGGGAACACACTGGAATTTTATTTTATTTTTTATCTTTTTATTTCTCTTGCGATCTCGTCTCTTGTGTACTTGTTATTCTAATGGTTGTTGCTCATGTGATACGCAGAGAGAAATAGAAAGAGGAGATGTAGCTTCAGGTATTGATTGTTACATGAATGAATATGATGCCACAAAGGAAGAAGCTTACATGGAGATGAGGAAAATAATAGAGAATAGTTGGAAGGATTTGAATCAACGATGCCTAAAACCAACAACAGTACCAAGAGTTTTGCTCATGCCAGTGCTTAACCTTATTAGGACGTCAGAATTCTTTTATAAAGATGAAGATGCTTATACTTCTTCCAAAAATAACTTAAAAGACGTCATTTCTATGGTGCTTGTTGATCCCATTAAAGTATGAAAGCAAATTGAAGGACAAAATAAAGAAAATGGAATAAAGAAATTGTAATCCTCTACAATGCTTATATTTCTTTTGCACTTAATTGTGGATGTTTATTTGCTACTCCAATAAGCAGTTTTGTAAACAACATTGCATGCAACTTTTGTTCTTCTATAAATAGAAAGTCATTTCTGTTCATTTATACATCACTTTGAAGTTGAGCAATATATCAATGTCTCTCTAAATACTTTTCTCTTGTGCATTTACTTTAAAGTCTTTCTTTTGTAATTGATAAAAAGAAACTAAGAAAAAAAAATAAAATAAACTTCCACTTTTTTATTAGTTAATTAAAGGAATTTCGAAAGAAAAGAAACAAGAAAAATATTTCTTTAAAAATAATAATTTTGTTAAGTTCATAAATGTTCGTTGTTAATAGTTTGGTTAAAAAATGTCTCTATTATTACACAAATAAAATATTTTTAAGCCAACAAGCCTTTTAGCAACAAATTAATATTAGTTGGTATTTGGTTGATAACTCAATTTGCCAACCAGTTCGATTAATTTACCACCAATTTTTGTTTGTTTATAATTGGGATTACTTTTATAGTGAGAATTACTTGGTCGAAATCTGTAACACCCCGAAAATTTCTAAGCTACAACCTGAATCATTATATAACACCTCGCAACTCTATTCTTAAAATTCAAATCGTTCATGTAACACTTCGGGCTTCGAAAAGGGCTAAAGAGGAGTAACAAGCAAGTTCACAAACCCAAAATGGACCATGGACCCTTCACGACACCCTAAACGGTCTGTTTTGGGGTCCACGGCCTGTTTAGGGCATGGTGGCCAACCGTCCAAGGCTGACAAGGTGGGGTCACCTGGACTGGACCCTAGATGGCCCGTGGTGGCTTGTACGATCCGTTTAGGGGTCCGCACAAGTCACACATAAGTTTTTAGGTTTTGGTCAACTTCAAACAATCATATCTCTCAGCACATAATGAACTAGGTGGCCCCAGACCTATCAAATTAAAGGTTTTTGAGTTCTCTTTCCAACACCACCAAGTTTGCCTCATTTCGATCTTGGATTAAAATGTTATGCCCATTTTAGTGAAGCCCTGTCGGGTAGGTGAAGCTTCACAACCGGTGAAGTGTTTCACGGACCGTGGAGACTTAAACGGTCCGTGAAACCTCCCTTAAAATATTTACCCTTTAATGCCTCATTACTTTCATATCCCTTTTTTATTTTAAAATGACATATATCTATTTTTATTCATGTGCTGACATTATGCTGACGCCAACGCCCACCTTTTTTTCCTCTGTGATACCATCACCGTATATTACATCATATGAATATATTCTGATGGTATCAACGTGTAACTGAGCAACGTCTTGATTGAAGGACTGCTTCCTCCTCCTTGATACCATCAAAATATAACATACTCTAGTGGTATCAATGAGTAACTGAACACTGTTTTCATTGAGGTTTGTTTCAGTCCTTCGATGAGATTACTCAATCATCCATGATATCATTACGGTATATCTACATATTGTCGTGGTATCATTGAGGTATGTTTCAATTCTTCAATATTTTAATTTTAAAACAGTTTTTTAAAAAGTCATAATTTAGATACAATTTTTTTTTTAAAAATTGCAAAAAGAAAAGAAATAATAAATATGTATTTTCTACTTATTTAGAGTTAAATAGATAAGATTGTGACTTCAATAATTTTCTCTTAATTGTTTCTGATTTATTTCTTATAAAAAGAGCCCCCTAAAGTGGTACAGTTGCCTAAGAAACCCATACAAGAGAGAAGAGAAAGTTACATCCCAATATCTTTGGATCATCTAGTTTACAATATATATATATACACAATGTATATATAATGTATATTTTATACTAATAGAAATATACATATACATATACATACATATTTATACATACCAATATACATAAATATACACAATATACACGCACCATGTATAATCGAGTATATATGTTAGGTATACTTGGACCATATTAGATAAATTAGAAAATGAATATGACCTTATAATGAAAACATGTATTAAAGGGAATACTTGTTCAGTGGTTTTCCCACCATTTTGAGCTTCCAGTTGAGAAAGGCCAGCTGTTATCAAACCTTAAGCATATTATTACGTCTTTAGTTTCTCTATTAATCCAAACTCAGTTAACAAGAAAATAAAAGAAAAATGGACGGATTTGGTGGTGAGGCGAAGATTATACGTCGGAGTGACAATCATCATCCAACTGTTTGGGGAGACCATTTTCTTGCTTACACTTATCTCTCAGTAAATTTGAATGCCCAGTGTGTTCATGTTTTAATTTGAGTTTATGTTTTATGTGTTGGCTGAGTAAAATTCTGTTGTTTTACACTTTCAAGTCACTCGAAAATATTTACAAGTAAGCCTTTTGTAAAATATGAGATTTGTAATCTTGAAAATAAGATAAGGTGATCTGGGACAACATATGAAAATAAATATGACCTTATAATGAAAACATGTATTCCCTTGCGCTAACACTGTGACAGTACTGTCTATGCTTTTGTCCATTTGTTTTCAGTTGAAACACTCTTGATCCATATTCTGTTTGCAAATAATTTTTGAAGCACAAAGAAATATATATCTAAACAAAGTTAGCTATTTACGCGTATAGGGAGACAATGAATGGGAAGAGAAGGAACATAAGGATCTAAAAGAAGAAGTGAGAAAAATGCTAGTGATTTCTCCTTCCAAATCTTTGCAAAAACTTGAACTTATCAACACAATCCAATTGCTTGGTTATGAAGAATGGATTGGTGAATGTAGTAACCTTCATGCTGTTGCTTTAAGCTTTCAATTACTTAGGCAGCAAGGTTTCTATGTCTCATCTGGTAAGTAATACGCCATCCAATCCAATCCAATCCAATTTATGTGACATTAGCTGACTAGATACAACACTTAAAAAACAAAAGAAGCTTTTAACACTTTTAGTCTAAAACAGATGTTTTCAGGAAGTTCACCGATGACCAAGGAAACTATAATAGAGCATTGGTTAACGACATGCAAGGATTATTAAGCTTGTACGAGGCGGCACAATTCAGAGTACATGATGAAGAAATTTTGGATGAAGCAGTTAATTTCAGCACCACTCATTTGAAGTTAATGTTGCCTAAATTGAGTAATTCTCTCTCGATACAAGTGAGCAACGCCCTAAAGTATCCAATCAACAAAACTATAGACAGGGTAGCAACTAGAAAATACGTATCATTTTACCAAGAAGATAAATAATGTGATCAAGTGTAATTAAATTTTGCAAAATTGGACTTCAATACATTGCAGAAGATGTATAAAAGGGAGCTATGTGATATCACAAGGTAACTAGCAAGATACACAATCAATAATATCACAACACTATTTATTAAAATAAAAATATAGATTTTTTATATTGATTTTCACATTTAACTTTACACTTTAGGTGGTGGAAAGAATTGGACTTGGCAAATGAATTACCTTTTGCTAGAGACAGAGTGGTTGAGTTGTACTTTTGGTCTTTGGGTGTGTACTTTGAGCCCCAATATAAGGTTGCGAGGATTATACTAACCAAAGTGTTATGTTTCGTTTCAATTACCGACGACATCTATGATACCTATGGAACATTACATGAACTTACTCTCCTCACAGACGCAATTGAAAGGTAGTATGTTTGTTTATTAAATTAACGAAACAGAGTGAGTAAGCTTACAACTTTTATTTTGGCATGTAATAATTTGTGAAGTGTTGAAGGATGAAAAACATTCTCACATCGATATTTCTTCTTATATGGACTTTGACAATCCTCCCCTCATGAATTAGGCACAAAACTAGCGGTATATATGCCATATCTTGCTACTGCTTCTTTGTTAGGTCTGGGCGATGAAGCAACCGACGAGGCATTCGACTGGATTTAGTTTACATAGAGATTTTGGTTCTTGTGTATATGATTATAATTGTCTAATGATTGTTGCTCTTATGGATATGCAGAGAGAAACAAAAAGAGATGTAACACATGTTGAATGTTACATGAATGAATATCGCGTCACAAAAGAAGAAGCAAACTTAGAGATTAGGAAAATAATAGAGAATAAATGGAAGAATTTGCATCGAGGATACCTAAAACCTACAACAATACCAAGAGTTTTGCTCATGTCAGTCTTCAACCTTACAAGAGTGACAAAGTTCTTTTATGTAGATGAAGATGCCTTATAATTATACCTTTTCCAAAAATAACTTGAAAGACGTCATCTTTATGGTTCTAGTCAATCCCATTACAAAATGAAAAGGAAAATATGATCAAGAGAATGGAATAAAAGGAATTGCAGTTCTCTAGAATTAATGATTATAGTTTTTTTTATTGGTTGTTTGCAATTACAAATGGAGTTACTTGCATCAATATAATGTTGTTTCACAATATATTCATCGAAATTCTTACTATAATATTAAGAAAATATTTGATACAACTTTATAACTTAACTTAAAAACCTAGCTAGTCATTGGTAAGGATTCCCCAAGATATTGATTTAATGAAATACTTTCTCCCTTTAAAAATAAGAAACTGCAATATTTTTAGCTTGAAAATATACCATTTATTTTGAAATGGAGGGAGCAATATCCTATTCCATCAACGCAGGTGAGGTTTACAATGTTTTATTTATTTATGTAATTACGTTTAATTTAAAACCTTTAAAGTAATATTTTACTCTTTGAATGATTTACATAAACTGTATATAAAAAGGTGAAAATTGGGGCCAGTGAGAGGGGACAAGGTTAATTGGTTCGGAAAAGGAAGTAAGGAACTTATGAATTATTGGATTGCCTTAATATATATATATATATATATATATACTAGTCATTGAAACTAGCGTTATCCCAAATCTTACTGCTGCTTCTTGGCTAGGCATGGGCAATGAGGCAAACAAAGAGGCATTCAAATGGATTACAACTGAACCTCCAATTCTCATCGCTTCCTCTATTATTGCAAGATTGTTGAATGATATTGTATCACATGAGGTATATAAATTCTCGCATCTTCTCTATTTTTACAACAGTTATTTACTCGTATTATTTTATATAATATGACTCGAAACATCGAGATGATTTCATATCTAAAATTTGGAATTGTTTAGAGGTGATTTCGAGTTGATTGAGAGTAAAAATTAATGTATTCT